CGCGGGGGCCAGACAAGGATGCCAGTGGCTAAAAGTTAGAGTGCTGAGGACAGGGAGCACGTGTGTCCTGACCACGCACCAACCAAGTGCTTGTGGTAAGAGACCGAGTCGGGGGAGGGAAGAGGCTCAGAAGAGGAACTTGGTTAGAGTGCTGAGGACAGGGAGCACGTGTGTCCTGACCACGCACCAACCAAGTGCTTGTGGGAAGAGACCGAGTCGGGGGAGGGAAGAGGCTCAGAAGAGGAACTTAAAGGTCCAAGCCCATCGGAGGGGCTGGAGACAGGCTTCAACGGGTGGGGAGCTTAGGACTTCCACACAATCCAGGCAGGGAAGCCGTGGTTCCCGGGGAGCACAGGGCCCAGGGGAGTGACCCGCGGCAGGTACCTTGCAGTCGCAGCCAATGGGCTTCGCACACTCCTCGCAGGTGTTGGCATAGATGCTCTCAAAGCACGGCACACAGTAGGGGCTTTCCTCTCTCAGGAGGTACTTCTTGCCAAAGAGAGATTCCTTGCAGTGCTGGCAGTCAAAGCGCTCGGTCATTTTGACACCTGGCTTTTCAACAACCTATCAAAAAGAAGAGAAAACCCAGGCCCCGGTGAGCACTCTCTGAATGATGCTCATGCAAAGGTACTAACGGTCCTGCTGTCTGAAGGGGTCATCTGTAGCCAACAGGTGGCTATTTCCTCTGGGTGAATAACTGAAACTCACCCTTTAAAGGATCATAATTTTCAATAATACACTTTTCTTTTTCCATTTTGGAGCAGTTTTGTGTTCGGATGCATTCCACTGCCTTAAAATTTCCAATTATTGTTAACTATGTCAGAAAAAGCCATCTCAATTTTGGACACAAGTGACGGTTGGCATCAGAGCCCCCGCTCCGTCCGGCAGTGTGTGTGCTTCAAACTTGTGACCCAGCCCCACGTCTTCCCTTTCTCCCAGCCCCCAAAATAGAAAAGCAGGCATAGAAACAATATGTTCATTTCCATAAAAAGATTTTCCATGATGTCCCCTGTATGATTCATGAATTTGAAGAGGAAGAAATCACAGTGGCAAAAAAGAGGGAAATCTGAGCTTAGGTGCCAACAGAGCATCGCGCTTGACCTCGACACTGCATCAGGAAGTACAATCTGCCCTGGCACAAGAAAAACTGTCAGCACCCACTTCTCCCAGATGGAAACATCATCCTTCGGCTGCCCAGGAACCCAGAGAGCAGGAGGAAGGGAAAGGCTGGCTTCCAAGAGGGATTATCATACATGGTCACGTACGCGGGGGCTGCAGTCAGTGGCTCTGCAGGCAGCACCGCAAGCCTCTCAAGAGTGCATGTCCCCGCCAGGCACAGTGCATTTTTTTTCCAGGACAAGTACAGGGTGTGCATGAGCTAAAAGAGATGAACTGGTGGGTGGGAGGAGGGGACGGGATGTTTCTTACCTCTCCTGCTCCTCATACGACCATTCCTATAAAAACATGTTAGGACTATCCCAGAAAGAAAAAGTCTACTGTGGGAATACCTGGCATGGAAGATGTCTCCGGGGCATTAAAAACACAGAGTCAGTTTTCTTCAGGAATATTTTAAGTGGAAATATTTAATTTGCTAAAAGTAAAAAGTTTTATCAGTTGTTAAATAGTTACAGTGGTTAGCTATGTAACTCTGGGCGATGATTCAAAAACTCCGAGCAAACTCAGTTCAATTTTCAGTCATTTCAAGCAATTTGAGGGTGAAATTCCAGACTTAGACCTTCTGATGCAAATAAAGTATCGCTGCCTAGTTTATGGTTACAGCAAATTCGATAGTGTTTATTAATCTTGTACTCTTGTGTAGCCAAGATCTTGACAGCCGTAGGCAAAGGGGTGGACAACGTTCAAGTATCCATACTTCGTTACTTCTGTGTTTATAGAATAATTTTCTCCCAAGAGCAATAACCATGCAGCTGGATCCATCCTTCCACATCACTCTTCCTGGAGCTAAAGCAAACATTGTCTGGACATTCTGGTGATAACATCACAAGATGAGGCTCTCAGTATTTGAAATACTATTCTGAAACCGAATGTATAAATACCCTTTGTTCTGAGGCCATCTAGGGTTGCAGCAGCTATGCTGGCAGAAGATTCAACACTTTCCTGTAATTCCTCGGTTACTGACCTTGAAAGTGATTATCCTTTATTTCATCACAATTGAGAGCTGTCCTTCCAACACATACCTTTTTCCAAGAAAGGCTACATTTAGCTGAAGAACAAGAGGCTTATTGCCTATTCTGTTCACACAAACATAAGAATAATGATTTGGGAATTTGAAATAATGATGAAAGGAGAAAGAACTATAAATCGTGGAATTGTAAAAGCTGGAAACAGCTCCTGAGATGATCTACGACAACTACCTCATTTTATGGATGGAAAAACTGCAGCTCAGGCATATTAATGAAAAAGGAGGATTCACGTGAGCTTTCTCAAACAGCCGTCTAACTCAGAGAAAATGAACTTTCAATCTACATGGGAAGGTGTTGCCACGTGGGTTCAGACAAGCACCAGCCCTGGGTGGGAAGGAGACAGTGTGCGGCCTGTGCCAACAGCCCCTGCAGAGACAGCCAGGGAATGGGCGCACCTGCTGTCCTCCGGGCTCTTGACCGTGACGCTCAAGAGACCTGGTATGTGCTTTCCACCTCCTCCGACTCCACAGGACCTGCACAGAAAAGGTCTAAGGGAGTAAAGTCTGAGAATAAGTAGGGATCCACATCTGCCCAAAGGATGACTGAGACTGTCCTGTGATGGCTGTTGTCATTCTGCACTGACTCCCCGCAGGAGAAGTGCAGCAGCTGTGACCTGCTCAGAAAGTCCAGCTGGGCTGAGGCACTAGGCCCTGGGGTCCAGCTCCCATTTCCACAGAGTTGTTCTGACGGTGGTGGATCCCTCTCCCAACCCTGTTCCTTTTCTTCTCTACAGTTTTAACAGTGAGCAGAGCATTTCTCCTTCAACCAACAGGCAGGTAAGACGAGCATGCATAACTAATTAGGAACACAGGAGGATGCGCTTTATCTGAGAAGATCCTCTTAAGGATTTCCAAAGAATTATACGAAGCACAAACCCTGAGAGTAAGAATAATCCACAAGCTAATGAGCGCTTCTTTTCTATCACAGTGTTTAAAAGCAATTCCTCTGTTAATTGTATTTTACCAAATAGAATATTCTTTTTTAAAAAATTGTGTATTTAAAGTTACACCATCAATCTTAAGCCTCTTTTGAATGGGAAAAATATATCTATAGTCCTCCATTCGAAGCCCCCTATAAGTTGGAATTATCAATCCTATCAAATACCTGATCATTCATTCATTCATTTACATTCGTTTATTCAAGAATCATCGGTGGAGGGCCGGCCCGGTGGCGCACTGGATAGTGCGCCGCTTGGGAAGCGTGGCGGCGCTCCCGTCCGAGGGTTCGGATCCCACATGGAGACCGGCTCCTGCTCACTGGCTGAGCGAGGCGCAGGAGCAACGCCAAGGCTTGCGATCCCGTTGCCGGTCCCCGGTCCGGTACGGGGGCAACACTGAGGGTTGCGATCCGTGGCCGGACACGGAAAAAAGACAAAAAGACAAAAAAAAAAAAAAAAAAAAAGA